CTCGGATGCTTTTGTGTACAGACAGTGATATTCGCTGCCATTTCGGTTTTCTCGCTGTGAGACATTGTTTTCAACTCAGTTGTCAATTAGTTTTGATTGCCTATCAGAGTATGTTTATTTTCCGAGGGGTAAAAGTTTTATTTTCTCGTGTATATCATCGCGACCGCGGAACGTTTCTCCTTACCTTCGATCTATCCTCACCATTGCTCTTGAAAGGAAGTGCAATAGCGAAAGCGTTCAACCTTAAACGCTTGTTAAACTTCTGTGGTCTAGTGGAACTTAACAGCAACCCTGGTCATCGAGGCCCGTATATGTGGTTTGTGTTCCCAGCTGCCTTTTATTCACCACAACCTGTTTCCTGAACTCGCACTGTGCACTTCTAATCTGAATAATGAAAAAGAATAAAAACGTCATCATCATCATCATAATTTCTCTGTTCGTAACCAAACCAATCCTGATGTTCGAAGAACCGGAACCATTTTGGTGCTTGATTGGCTTCTGGAATGCACTCTTCGATGTCATACCCATATTTTTTGTGTGCTTGTGGTTTCCCACGCCAAGCTTGGGCTATCTTTTTTCGTAACCAGAAACTAGGTCCTCCTGTTTAGATGTTTCCACCTTCTTCTCTTAAGGTATGCTGTATGCCCATTCCCCGCCGTTCCGATTCGATGCAGTTCGCTCTCCGAACTGGCTTCATTGGCTTCGTCTGGCTATGCAACTGTGCGCGGGCAGTCCCGTTCGGCACACCGATTCGCACGTGACCGTTCACGTCAAGGCACTCGCGACCGCCCAACAACAGTCCCTACTACCGCACGGTCTTCATCTGCCTCAGACATCGGTGTGGCAATTACCCGAGCAAATCCCTCTGGTCGTCTCACCGACCGGAATCGGTTTGGAACGGGTGATTCGTCTGATGCATCAGTTCTGTCCCCAGGTGAAAAAGGATGCCGGCCGGGGTCCTGCCCGGCCGTCCACCGGTACTCGTGCTTGCGAATCCATGTGGTTAAGTCAAAGTCTGTTCGGCACACCTCTGGCACTGTTGGTTGCCGAGTGCAGCGGATCCTATGCGGAACAATCCGACCCCGGTGGAGAGAATGGAGATGCACAGGGCCATTTGAAATTCGGCGGCACTGGTACGTCCCGATTTGCCTATTCACTGTTTCATTGCATTGTGGTCGGTTTGCCTGTTTCATCCCGTTCCGCCTTGAATCACAGCATGATTTACTTTATACTGACGTATTTGTTTAAAATTACATCGTACTGATTTTCTGTTCCTCGTGTTCGTTCTTTAATCCACGATGAATTTGGTTTTCTACTTGTGGACTGACACAGAAGTAATATGATGTGGTCTGCTGTTAAACCAATGAGGTTGGCACAAGAATCCAGCATTTCACCGTGGTCCAGCAGACGATTGTCTAAAGCGGAAAATAGTCTAGACGTTTGAGCGTTTTGTTCGCTGTGCAAATCTTAGAAGTGGAAGATGGTTATAGAACCGGTTCTAGCTGCTTTCTGGACACGAGGGACAGTTTGCCAGCATATAAGTTGGTGTTGACAACTGCAACACTGTATCTATTCATCCGTGAAGTAACTTGAGGAATTTTCACACACACAATCACCTCTACCATTGGTGCTTCCTTGAATAAGTAAATATTTAATGCTTTTGTGAAGACCGTCACCACGAATACAGTCGGTTCACTTTACGTGGGCTCATCTCGTCTCCGCCCTGAGTGAACTGGTTTCCTCACAGAAATATCGGTGTCTCACACGATGGCTCCGACGTTGCTCTCGGTCCCTTGCTTCTCAACGCCTCTCATCATCCCACCCGAATGCTATCGTCTGATCGCTATTTGTTCCTCTGAACTCAGACCGATCAGCACGTTATTCGAGTTTCCTTGATGCACCAACTAAATAGTTATACATCAGACACTATTATTAATTTTTCTATTATAAACTTGATCTCGGTGTATAAGCTATCTCATTCTGTCTGGATAGTCGCTTCCTCACGATATTTTTCCACTGCAATTGTCACCACTGGTACATATTCATTATCATAGTTTTCTAACGATTGATTTTGAATGTAATTTGAGCAAATCGTACTGCGGTAGACGATAAATGGGCCGTGTGGGGGGTGGGGTGGATGGGTGGGCGAGCGAGCGAGCGAAGGTAGCAAAGAATCAGAAGAAGAACCGAGCTGTGTTATGCCGTCAATTTGTTATGTTTTGCGCCGCGTATATCCGTTGCCTACTATTAGGTCGCACAGCACTATATCACAGGAGAACGCCACAAAGTGCACAGAACCCAAGACATAGGACACGGGAACACGAGAACAACGGACTAGCACTAAGTCCGTGAGTGGATGATAGTTCTAGGAGCGGACGCTACCTAGGTGAAACACAGGATGCGCAGTCGGCTATCGATCTCTCAGGCCTCCCAAACACGCGAGAGAGAAGACACGACTTCAGCACCACGGGATTTTAATGGCGTTGAGCACAAATCACAAGTCACGAGTCGTGCGTCACAAGTCAATTTACAAGTTCACTCTGCTGCTTATATGTGACTGAAAATAACATTGATCAATGCAGGTAAAAGAATGTACCAATGAAATGCACAGTGAGCAATGTTCAGACGGCCATAGGCTGCGGATCGGACGAATGGCGTTGATCTTCATGTCAACACCTCCCCACTTACTTTGGTTACTTGTAGTGTTGGTAACGGGGATTTACTTGCATTCTCCTTGTTGGTCTTCGTGGCCGACTGGACTGTCTTCTTGTCATGAGGCATGCTTCTGTTGTTGTTACAGTATTCCTGGTTTGGATGTCAAGTGTTCAAAAGAATATCCAGGGGAAGTGCCTTTCGTTCAACCTCGCACGATTGGTGATATCTGGGGCGCAATCGGTTCTTGTGACGTAACTATGTGTCCTGCTCTATTTGCACTTCATAAGGCACTTTGCCAATTCGCCGTTTAATGGTTCCTTCTACCCATGGTTTGCGATCTGGAAGATAATCCCTATCATATACGACAGTATTCAGTGCCAGTTTGTCTACTTCCATGGTGTCTCTTTCCGATTTAACTGATGTGTCTTTGGGTAGCATGATGTCGTAGACTGTTCGCAATTTACGGCCCATTAGCGCTTCTGCAGGGGTCTTACCATTCGATGTTGATTCGTTCGGAGTTGAACGGTATGCCAAGAGGAACCGTTGCAGAATTTCATCTGTAGTCTCCTCCCCTCGAAGCTTTAACAGAGCTCTTTTGAAAGTATCCACGAATCGTTGCACCTCACCGTTGGATTGTGGGTGATACGGTGGAGTCCGAATGTGTTGGATATGCCGCCGTTGGCAGAAATCTCGGAAAACAGTCGAAGTGAATTGGGTACCATTGTCCGAAACGATCACTTCCGGTAGGCCATGTTGGGCGAGAACGCGGTGCAGACAAAAGTCGGTATAGTGGAGGAGGAAATGGCGTAGATCTCAGGCCACTTGGAGTAGGCATCTACTATGATGAAGTAGTAGATAGCGTTTACTGGTCCCGCATAGTCAATGTGTAGTCGCTTCTATGGACCTGTTGGTACTAGCCACACAATTGGTTGTTCTTTTGGTGGAAGTTTGGCACCTTGTTGACACTGAGAACATTGCCAAACAACGGTTTCTAATCACTTCCATGAAGGGCCGGTACACAACTTGGTGTAATTGCCTTCATCCTGCTCATGCCGGGGTGGATCTCATGGAACTGGCCGAGTACTCGTGAACGCAATGACAATGGAATGACAACACGATTGGCGAACATGAGGCATGAGTCAACCCCAGATAAGGATGCACGTCGCATATACAACTGTTTCAGCTCGTCTTAGTTCACCGTAGGTGGCCAGCCATGTATAGTCCATGATATTGCGGATTGAAGATTGGGGTCATTTACCGAGGCATGCTTGATGTCCTCTGCCTTAACGGGAGTTCCCCTGATAGCATCGTTCAGTGCCCGACGTGTGTCAGCGTCGGACGTGATAGCTGCACTCACCATGTCTTGTGGAGTAGACGTCTGGTGTTGTGGAAGGCCTGATAATCCATCCGCTTGACTAAAGTGTTACGTGCGACGGAATTCAATGTGGAAATCGTATACCAATAAGGCAAGAGACCAGCGTTGTAGTCGATTAGCTGTATGCACTTGGATATCTTTCTTGGAGCCAAAGATTGACTGGAGTGGTTTGTGGTCCGTGAGTAGCGTGAACGAGGGGCCGTAAATATATTTGTGGAATTTCTTGACACTAAAGATAATTGCTAGGGCCTCTTTTTCTGTTTGACTGTAGTTCTTCTCAGTTGATGATAAGGTACGAGAGACATGAGCGATAGGTCGTTCCGTCCATTGGGCCACACATGGGAAATAACAGCGCCTATAATTGGAAACGTCTGCAGCGATCACAAGCGGCAACTTGAGGTCATAATGGCATAGCAGAAGATCGGAGCTCAGCATGGTTTTGAGCTTGGTAAAGGCGAGTTGACATTCTTTTGTCCATTTCCAAGGCACATTATTCTTAAGGAGGTCATTCAGTGAAGCACAGACATTGTTTAACGACGGAAGAAATGCGCTATAGTAGCTGGTCATGTCTAGAAAAGACCGTAGTGTGGAGACATGTCGTGGTGGCTGCATAGCTGTAATAGCATGAACGTTTTTATGGGTCAGGACGACGTCCTCGGGCGTCAAAGATAAAACCCAGGTACCTGATGGACGTCATCAGGAATTGGAACTTATCTTTCAGAAGACGATATCCGTGTTCTTGGATGCGAGCAAGCAGTTTTTGTAATCGTACGCGCAGTTCTGTTGGTGTAACTCCAACAATAATGACATCATCCAAATAAGCCGCCGTACCCTCGAAGCCAGTAGTCATGGCGTTCATAACTTGCTGAAATATAACGGGCGTTGTTTTAACACCAAATGGGAGGCGCGTATACTGGAATAAACCTCGGTGGGTGTTAATAGTCAGCAGTTCTTGGGATGCCGGCTCCACGGGAATCTGGAAATAAGCCTCCGCTAAGTCCAGTTTAGCAAAATATTTCCCTCCGTTCAACATTGTGAAGATATCTTCTAAAAGTGACAATGGATGGCAGTTGGACTGTAGTGCGTTGTTTAGTCCCGTCGAAAAGTCGGTGCGGATGCGGATGCTACCATTCGCCTTTCTCACTACAACGATAGGCACTGTCCACTTAGAGTATGTGACAGGAACAATAATCCGAAGATTTTCCATACGCTCTTAGAAACTAACCAATAACATGACGTGTATAACCATTTCGCTGTGCAATCAACGATTTAGCGTGCACATTTCTTGCTTTTGAATTCGATCAATTTTCCAGTAAAAAATAAATACTCATAAATTATCCATCCTTCGATAGTTCTCAGAAATCGGTTCGTTGTGTCTACGATCGTTCGTGGTCCCACCCGGCAAAAACTCATCCTTGAAGTTGCTGTGATGTAGATCGCCTCTCACGG